AGGCGCGATGAGCGTTGAAGAGGCGACGACGAGGACGATAGAGAAGCTCGCCATACGCACGAGGGAGAGACCAAGAGATCGACAAGGAAGAATGCAAGTCGCGGATGGACAAGGGCTGAAGGTCTATGAATCATGACATGGCCTCCGGGATAGATAGAGGAGGAGATCATCTCGCATTTTCGTTCCGAAATCATACTTCCTGCCCCACTGCAGGCTAATGTGGGTGTTTCTCACTACATCCAAACACCTGTGCGCTACCACCTCATACAAGGAAAAAAAGCTAAACAGATCTAGAGCCTACATTAACGTTCGGTCACCTACTTTGCACGCTTTTATCTTGATGTAGGCTCCATAGTGTTCGGATGTTTCCTTGCATAAGGTGCTATGCTGCATTACCGTGCATATATACATAACCAATCATATCGCCATGCCGCTCAACCCTGCTTCTCGTTTCGCACGCCAGTAACCGCACTACCACCGCATCTTCATCCCTGCTCCTTCGCCTCCGTGTCTTCGTGATCCTCCTCATCCTCCGCCTTCCTCTTCTGCGCCGGATTTCCTTCTAACACCGCCATCTTCGCCTCCGGAACCATGGATGGCGCTACTGGCGCATGCTCCGGCGGTTTCTCAGCCGGCATAGGCGGATACACGCCGTCGTCTCTAATCTGCCAGCCATCGATCTTGAGAAGCTTCCACCTCTCCTTGATCTTGCATCGGACTAGTTCGCCTGTAGTGCGCGCATCCTCGTAGCTGTCGTGGCCGGCAGCGCCTCCTTGTTGGATTTGCTCGCCAAGGTGGTCCGACGCCAGCTTTCGCAGGCCGAATCGGAAGGGGAGACCACTTGGGTTTGGATATAGGAGTACGGTGTCGATGATGGTGGGGTGAACGAGGCGAATGGTATTGAGGTCGTTTTCGAGAGCATGGCCGAGGACTGGGGTTGTGGGGGAGACGTGGGAGAGAAAGAGTTCTCTTGCTGCATGGGGAGAGTCGACGATGCGGAGGTCTTTGCGCACGGGTTTTGGGTTGTCTGGATCATATGGCTTCGCGTTCAGGAACTGGTCTGCGGTGATGCCAGAGAATCGGGTGTTGAAGTCCAAGACGTGTCCAAGTGGGCGGACCAGTACGTCGACAAGAGGTTTGTGTTGTGGCCATGTAATGACTGTGAGACGAAGCATCTCAAGGCCATTGGTCGTATATCCCATCTCGCAGTCGAAGCAGACAGCGGTGTCCTTCGGTACTTTGTCGTTCTCCGGCGTTTCGACAAAGGGCATGATGAGTGACAGCCGATTTGGATCTTTGACGTTGTACACATGAGTAGGATGCGTAGTGCAGCCCGGTGATCCTACCTCCCCATTGCAGCAACTGAACTTTGTAGGCTCAGGGGCGACGCCTCTTGTTTTCCTTGGAAAAACGCGCCTCCCCCAGTGATGCTTGCACTGCCCTCCTGTTGTAAGCGCTCCATCTTCTTCTCGCCGCTCTGAGAAGACCTGGAATCGAGTGCTGCAACGATCACACTGCTCCCAGCCGCCAGCTGCTTGGAGCGCCAACTTTGTCTCGTTGAGATCGGCCTCAGCAGGTACTTTTGTCACATAACCGTGCTGGTCTAGTCCATCCTGCGGACACACAAGCCTGGGGAGGAACGTCATCTCTTCTTTCGCTGTAAGACCCGTGTCTATCCTCTTAGGTGGTGCTTTCTTTGGTGGCTCTCCACTCTCTTTGGCTACCGCATCGCGCCGTTCCTTTACCCATTCCTCTGCCGGCATGCCTTTCAACTTGACCAATCGCTGCTTGAGTATGTTCTCGTATACCGAGGGGTTTGATATAGCTATCCTTTCTTCTTCGTCAACTGCTAGCTTGTTGAGCTGGTTTGCGGATAGATGCAGCGCTTTGATCTCGGGCTTGACTGCTTTGAGGAGCTTATCGTTCTGCGGCTTCATGTAGGAATGCAGTGCCTTGAGTAAAGCGACCCGTTTGGTGAAGGTGGCTGGTTCTTTGTTGAGTTTGCGTGGCATCAAAGTAACAGGAACGTCGGGTTTGACGGCAGCCTTGGGCGCAGTTGCAGCCGGAGGTGGTGATACTGGCCGCGTGGCAGACTTGGGGAGAGTAGAGGTAGTGACATTTGCGACAGATGCTTTAGAAGGGGCAGGGTTAGCAGCCGCAGGCACATTGTTTGTTGTCGGTGTCTTATTCTTGGGTATGTCCGTGCTGGTTGAGACATCGGGCGTGTTCTGGGCTGGCGTAGGCTTGGTGATAGTGGGTGATTCCTTATCGTGGTCAAGCTTCAGTCTCTTCGCAATTGGCTCTGAATCATATGTTGCTGCAGCTGGCGATGGAGATCGTCGTGTTGTAGTGCGTTTTGTAGAATCGTGACCGAAGATGCAGTGAGGCAGCTCGCACTTGGCACCCGAAGGACATGCTACGTTGGCAAAGCTTCTGTAAGCTGGTACTGAAGGCCACATGATTGCTTCGCTTGCGACGTATTCTTTCCTGTGAGTAGATACAATGCCTGAACACCCTGGAGCCTACGTTGACGTCAGCTCACCTACTTTGCAAGTTTTTCTTTCGATGTAGTCTGCAGACCTGTTCAGCTTTTTTCTTGTGGAAGGTGCCGGGCTAGAGCTGACGAAGAGCTATTCAGCCAATGGATGCGATGTATGAGAACTGGCCTAGGATCTGACACCAGCCACACACGCTTGATTGCACGATTTTGCAACGGTATGAAGGAGTGATGGTCAAGCTTTCAACATCTCATTGCACAGGAAAAGATTGATGCAGATGCAAAGGCGGCTGGTGTAATAGCTCGCGCGTCAACGGTGACCTTGTAGCTTCATCAAGGGTGGTGTTGTAGAACTGCGCTGCGATCAAAATTACCAGCAAGCTTCAGTGTGAGCTTCAGTTGTCCCGAAAGAGCTAGAGCGGGCTAGACGGTGAAGGTGAGGGATGAGGTGAGATGCGCATCAGGCTCAGCCCTGTGGATGTTTAGCGCTAGACGCAGGGTCCACGGACGCGGGCGGGCGAACTTGCGACGGCGATCCGCCTTAATTCCGTCATGACGCGGTGATGCAACCCGTACGCATCTCAAGGCCGCCTCCCTTTCACCCTCCACCCAGCGTCAATACCCATGAATGTATGCGCAATCTTGCTTCAGTGAACCTGCGCATCTACACATCATATCCTGACAAACTCGCCACTTTCCGCGACATCACAAGTGCCCTCGTCGCATAGGAATTGCTTTTCGGACCGCGCGCGTCTCGGGTCATACTGCGCCTTTCGGACGACTTGTGGACGCCCGAGCGATATACAAATACTGCGCCTTTCACCGTATTACCCAGGCCAGCTAAGATACCTTCGACATGTCTTCCTCGATGAGCACCTCCAAGAAAGCCGACCACCTCTGTGTCCTCGTTCATGGGTACGTCCCTGTCTCCGTCGCACGCCTTATCGCCTCTTATCATGACAAGAAGGAACACTGTCGCTGACCACACCCAGCCTCTGGGGCAAGCCTGAGCACCTCAAATACGTCAGCACCACTCTAGGCGAACGATATCCCGAAGACAAACTTCACATCCTCGTGGCCAAGCGCAACGCTGGCAGCTTCACATACGATGGCATCGATACCGGTGGCGAGCGCGTGGCAGAAGAGGTGGAGAGGAAGTTGGAGGAGCTCGCTGAGGCTGGACACGACATAACGAAGATCAGTGTCGTCGGATACTCACTAGGAGGCTTGATAGCACGCTATGCTATCGGTCTGCTGTTCCACAGAGGCATCTTTGAGAAGATACAGCCAGTCGTATGTCTACACGACCATCCACGACTCTCCAGCGCTGTCTACTAACACCACCAGAACTTCACAACCTTTGCGACACCACACCTCGGCGTGCGAACACCCCTCAAAGGCTACCACAGCCACATCTGGAACGTCCTGGGAGCACGAACACTCTCCATGAGCGGTAGACAGCTCTTCGGCGTCGATAAGTTCAGGGACACGGACCGATCACTTCTAGCCGTACTTGCGGACCCCGAAAGTATCTTCATCCGAGGCCTCGCCCAATTCAAGCATCGGAGTCTATACGCGAACGTCGTGAACGATCGAACAGTCACATACTACACCGCCGGTATCTCGCAAACCGACCCTTTTGTTGACCCAGACGATATCAAAATCAACTACATCCCCGACTACGAAGATGTCATTGTCGATGGCCAGCACCCAGTCTCGCACAAGGAGCCAGAAGAGCCTCCAGCGCTATCACAGCGGCTGGTACAGGGTACATGGACAATACTGGGAAGGACGGGCATTGTCGCAGCCTTGACCGTCCTCGTACCAATTGGCGTGTCGGCTTTTCTCATCAACTCGGCATTCCAATCGATCCGCAGCCAGCAACGAATAAGACTACACGAGGAGGGTAGGTCGGGAATCGACTACGCGCGCTATCGCATACCGCTCATGATCAATGCCGTACGGCGCGAGGCCGAGGGCATGTACGAAAACGCAAACCACGTCCAGAGCCAAGAATACTTGAGCGAGAGCTACGAACACGTAGGGTCTGCTTCTCCACGCAAGGACGAGTCCCGATCCGACGTCGACTCGATACAAGAGCAAAAGGAGGCCGCGACTCCCACCTTCCCCACGCTAGCTCTCACGCAAGAACAATTCGGTATGATCGAAGCACTGGACAACGTTGGCTTTACGAAACACCCGGTCTACATCCACAACCATCGACACTCGCATGCAGCGATTGTTGTACGAATGAACAAGCCTTCCTTCAACGAGGGTAAGGTGGTCATCAAGCACTGGCTGGACAATTTCGAGCTATGATTGACTCTCATATACATTTCTGTCTGCATTTACAGCGTGGCGCATGGAGTATCTTTGGGATGGCATTCTCAGGATATAGAAGCAGTTTTCTTTTCGGCGAGTTATACCTTGATCACTTGTGTTTATGTATGTATTTCCCATTACGAATGTTTAATGTGTTACTACACCACAACCGCTGCGCCACTCACTCATCATCGTCCGACTCCGACTCCGACTCCCCCTCATCCCCATCCAACTCCCCCTCCTCCCCCGCAAACCGAAACGTCAACCCCCTCACAAATCTCGCTCGAAAATCCATCCGACACATAATCTCCACCCTCACAACCTCATACTTCGCCGTCTCATACACCCTCAGCGCATCCTCCTGCTCCTGCGATACAACCTCGTACGCGCACCCCTCCACACACGTACCAGGGTTGTCGACCAGCGCTTTGTACTTGCCAGCCCACGTTCTGATCTTTCCGGAATGTATCATAGCGGGGAGTAACGTGTGTTGGTGGTCTGGTGGCGCGTTGAATAGATGGGCTAGGTGTGAGGGGTTGGCTAGGGTGCCGTAGAAAAAGTACCAAACGGGATATTGGCTTTGTGTTGGGAGGTATTCAGTGTCGGTCGTGTTGATGATTTGAGGGCGACGGTGGGGGAGTGTGGTGTCGTAGCCGAGAGTTGGGTATGCCGAGAATGGAGAGAGGGCTTTGCGGGCGATGTTGATGGGGATGAAGGTTGGTGAGATCGTGGGGTATGCCTCCGCAAGCCATTCTTTGATTGTTGGGATGTCAATGTCGCGGACTTGACAGAATGTCGCAGCGCCGTCTTCGCCTTGCCCTTGGTGGATTGTGGGTTGGGTGGGGAGGATGGCGGCAGAGGCGAGGATTGTGGGGGTGACGGGAGCGGTGATCTTGAAGAGGTAGTCCATCTTGCTCGATTTGCGCTTGGGGGTTCCATTCGCTGGTGTCTGATATACGGTGGCTCGGATGAGATCTGCTAGCTCGGAGGACAGCTTGGGTGCGGCAGTATGATCGAATGGTGTACCATCGCCGGTCAGTTCGTCCAGCGCGTTCATGCCTTCTAGATCTAGATCGTCGGGGTATTCCATGCTGTTTGTGGGATTGAGGATTGTATGAGAGATGAACTGCTGCAGGTCGCGCCTTCGCCTGTTTTATGTATGCTTTTCCTCTTTCTGAGTCACACCCACACGTTATACCGCACCTTGGTTGCTATTCGATGTATTCAGTGGTACTGCAGTGAGCCAATAGACCGCGACGAGTTACTCACAGCACCCACACTCTATACCAACACATACTTTTGAGGCTTACATTGTTCTGCATCATCTTAGGCTGTCAGCGTGGAATCTATCGAGTCCTTTCTAGGTGTCGCAAAGCTTGTGGAAAGTATCGTTCTCGCGGGCTTTTAGACGCCAGCCCGATGTTCGTCGCTTACAAGATTGTTTCTATTTGCATGGGTAGCGAGGGCAAGTTCAGCGGGCAGCCACGAGGCTGTGCACGCCAGACGCTAGGCTACAGCTTTCGACACGGTCTGACGCACGAAAACCACACATCACTTAAAGCGCATCCGAAATATTATTTACATACTTCAGTTTACCACCTCAGAGAAACGGACATGAAATCAGAGTGAGAGAAGGGATCATGGGAATGCTTGAATTGGCATGGCTATATTATCTCGTGCGAGCGGCATTGCGCGACCAGTGCACCAGTGCACCAGTGCTAAGCCTACGCCCCTATAGATACCTCATATTGGACCTCCATTTCTGTTAGCTGACTAGAATGCGACCCCAACTCGAGTGAAAAACGACCCAGATCACCACTTGAAGTCCCCGCCCTCGATCGTGGGAAAGTGTCCCGAAGTCGCCTCCCTCGTAGCCTTGTCAATCTACGTATCGTCAGCATCCATTCTGCACAGCAGCCTCGCGAAAAACTTACCGTCGATACCAAAAAATTGGCACTGTCCTCAACAGTAATAAAGGCCTTCTCCATACCAAACGTCTTCGCTCCCTCGTTCCCCATGTCAGTCTGCACGAATCCAGGATCAAGCACAAACGCGGTAAGCTCCGGGTGGTCAAAGTGCGCCTTGCAAACCATCCAGTGTAACATGACTTTGGACATTCCGTACGCAGCCATGGGGAACGGACGGCTCTCCATACCGGTGATGCTAGCGATGGGAGTTCCGAGCGCAGCGAACTTGGGGTTGGATGATTTGAGGAGCAGGGGCAGCACAGCTTGGAAGAGGAGAAGGGGTCCGTAGGCGTTGACTTCGACGTGCGACTTAAGGACGTCGAGCGAGACGGAGGCAACGGGAGCGTAGTCCGAAGAGACGCCGGCGTTGGCAATGACAGTGTCGATGGTGGTGATGCCTTGGCTCTTGAGTTCTTCGATGGCTTTCTTTGGGCCTTCGGCGTCGCGGCTGTCGTAGGCAATGACGATGAGCTTGCTGTCTTTGCCGGCAGGGAGGGACTTGAGGGACTCCGCGGAGCTGGTGGTGCGTGCTACGGCAATGACGGTGTTGTTTGGGCGCGCCAGGTAGGTCTCGACCATTGCCTTTCCGAGGCCTGAGAATGGTTAGTTGAACATCGAATAAGATGCGAGGTTAGTCAGAAGTACCTCTAGCAGCACCGGTGATGAGGTAAGTTGTTCCGGCCATAGTGGAGAACTTGTCGCTGGGAGTTGACGAGTTCGAAGTCTTTTTGCTGGTAGATCGATCTGTGTTGGAGCTGCCGGACTTGAAGCAGGAGAACAATGCAGAGAAGGGTGACATGTATGGGTTGTTTGATCAGCACAGTTGTCTACTTAACCGTAGACGTACGATCATGTTTGGCTGAATTGATAAGCCGAACTCGAAGGAGCGCGCACGTGTGACACAGCTTCCATCTTTGTCAGCTCGGTCAATCGCAAGCGCGAGCAATTGCGGCTGAGATGTCAGCAGATACAGAGACAAAGACATATTGTGTTGCAAATGTGGACTTGATGCACGGACGACGCCGCAATTCCATGGGATGCTGACCTTGCATGATTAGTGTAACATAATCGACGGCCCGCTCTCCACGTTTCGGGTGAGCAACTTTCGACGAGTTCCGCTGGCCTGGAACGCTAGAAACGCCACACTGGTTGCCTTTGCTGATTGCCTTATATCGACCTCGCTGGGCGTTCAGCCGCGCACACCTTCGTCTGCAGCCCCCAATGCTCACCGGTACCTGTTGCCAAGCTGTGTGTTTACAAATCGACGCGAACATGGAGATGCGCGCCTGCGGTCTTGACGAAGCCGCCTGCTATTGCGGAAGATGATCAAATTTAGGACCAGAAGAACATCAGTAGTAAGCTGACCCATGACATACGTTCTGAAGGTTGACAGCGAATGGAGACAACAATAATGTAATTAACGAAAGTTCTAGAATAGCTATCTCAAGATAAACCAAGTCTACTCAATCCGGCCAATGCCGGAAGATCTAACAACCGCCAGATTCAAGGCCACCATCCTTCCCCGGACCGCAGTCTAGCTGAGCTACGGCGTCCTCCCCTCGCCCTGACCTACGCTCTGCACAAGCGCCCATCGCTCGCCACATTCCACGCATCGCTGCCGACTATGGTGGGGCCGTAAAACAGATCATCTGGATCGTACGCCTTCTTGATCTTGCGCAGCTTGTCGTAATTCCCACCGTAGAAGTCCTCTTTCCATGTCGGATTCGCAAAGTTGGCCTCGTTCAGGTACGAACCGGCGCCTGGTGTAACAGCTTCGAGTTTGGGTATGATGACGTTGTTGATCTCGTCGATTTGAGCCAGGTTGAAATCCCAGGGTTGATTGTATTGCCACTGTAGCTGCGCGAGGACGTTCATGTTGGCTTCACGCCACTGTGGGGCCACGGCGTTGGGTGCGATGGCATCTTGAATTGAAGAGCCGACCCCAACCAGGGCAATCATTGCGTCGGTGGTTTCTGTGAGGTCGCGCAGGACGGATACAAATTCTGCTGTGCTGTTCTGTAGAACGGGCCGAGGGACGAAGCGCCCGCCGCTGATTCGGTCTATCAGCTGCCACTCCGGCGGAATAAAGTAGATGTTGTAGAAGTCCATGAAGGTGGGAAAGGTGGTGACATTGAATGAGTATTCGAGTCCCAAAATGTCCAGCTTCGTCGTGACTGGTGCAATTAGATCTCGCATGTTGGCCTCGTCTCTGTCGGGGAGTACGAGAGGTGAAACGCTGAACGACGTGGGTGACAAGATGCCAATGGCTGTTGCGCCACCGTCGACGAGAGCGGGTATGTTTGAGAGCCATGCTTCAACACCCGCCCATAATGTGTCGTTGGATTCGTTTGCGTCCGCTGAGAAAGAGAGAGAACCAACAGCCACGGCACCGTCCTTGAACGCTCGCACTGTCAGTGATACCACCACGCCGTACGTTCCTGGTCCCCCGCCACTTAAGGCCCAATAGAGATCTTGGTTCTTGCTCGGGGTGGCGGTAGTCAGCGTCCCATTGGCGAGCACAACTTCCCATTCTAATGCCTGATCGGCCCCCATGCCATAGGTGCTAGTCAAGGAGCTGTGCCCTCCGCCTTGAGCAAAACCACCTACCAGGCCGACCGTTGGGCAGCTTCCTGAAACGATGCGCAGGCCTGCCTTTGAGACTACGGGGAGAGCATCCTCTCCAACGACTCCAGCGCCCATCTTCACAGCGGGGCCGCTGTAGTACGTGCTGTAGTAGTTGCTGATAACCTCAACTGACTTGAGTTTGTGGGTCCACAGTCCAAGTGATCCTGCTCCCACGTTCTTGCCCATGAAGCTAGATCTGTCAGTAAAACTTTACACCGTGGGCTTGTGGTACTCACTCATGACCCGTGTTTTTGATGACCAAGCGGATGTTTTGCTTCTGGGCGAATCGAACACCGGCCTGGATGTCCTTGGCCGAAGAGACTGTAATGGTGTATGGAGAGTAGTTTCCGAGTTCGCAAGGCTTCGAGCGTTCTGTGAAGGGGCTGCACGCTTCTGTCTGGAAGTAGGCGCTCTGCACGGAAGTCGATGAGTTCTCACTGTTTATTGTGAGTCTGCTATCATATCAAGAGAGATGGGTCATGGAGGTTCTTACTGCACTGGAGGAAATGCCCAGCTGGCTTTGAGAGAGTTGCATGCTGCTTCGTCATAATGCGGGTCATGACAGGGTGCAGCCAACGGAACAGTCGACACAAGCTTTCCATTGACTGTCTTGTTGAGAACATTCCACTGGCCAGGCGATGGCCAAGTGTTATCCTGAGGTAGCTCCCGACAGCTTGGACTGGCGCACAGTGCTACGGCTGCACACATGGCATACGTGACAGCCGTTCGGTACGATGGTAGAAACATGATAGATGGTCGTTCCACGCCTGGACAAGTATACAGAATGACGAAGTGGTTGAAGACGATGTATGGCTCCGGTCTGGACATCTTCATTTTATATCCTCTTTGCCGCCCCAAATGGCCTCCCGTCTTCTCGCAAGCCACCATTGTCTAGGACGTGTGGCTTGATAAAAACGCATCCTGGTAAGATTGAGACCAGTGAAGTTCACTCAAAAGAAGGCCTGGATGTCGCCAGGATCGATTGTGGCAGTTGGTGGAGGCATGAACCTCAGGAGTTCCACCTTTTGATTTGGCAGGCGCGGACGCCCCATGAACTCTTGGTACCAGATGCTATGTTTGGATGATGTGTATTCGTTGGTATCTCGCGTCGGCCGCCACCACCATGATAGCTCGTCTGAGACCCCCGAGGCTGATTGCACCTGAACAGTGCAGATAGCATCCCGTCCCGTCGAAGGTAGTGCCTCGGTTCGTTCTCAGCTACGCGCATGTGGGTGTATGATACGCCCGAGTAGCCTTGACGGTAAGTCCAGTGAGCTCATATTGTCGGAAGCATCCAGTAAGCGGTCCTGGCGGGCTGAGGCGTAACTGGGTCTGAGAACACACAGTTCCCGGGGCACAGTCGCCTACTTGGAAAGGTCCCATAGTTGGCTGCGTACTCTACATCATACGGGATAGCGATGCGTTGAATAGTCGCCAGTATCCCTTTGAAGTTCTCACCGTCACGCCAACCTAGGAAAAACTAAACAGCCTACAGCCTACAGCCTACGTTGACGTTAGGCTACCTACTTTGCAAGGTTTTAGCTTAATGTAGCCTGCAAACCTGTTTAGTTCTTTTCTTGTATAAGGTGCTGTGTATGTGTAAGCTTGTGGATAGCAGGAGATGTGGCATGATGCGAAGTGGGTTGTGTTGTTAATTGGCCGCGTGGCTATCACGTGACTGAACTAGGCCAAAACAGCGTTAGCTCTCGGCGCTAGACAGAGAACCAAACACCGAGCCGGGCTGAGATAGCCCACAGCACTCGGCCCCGTCTTCAGCAGGTGCCTGAGACCCTGCACATGTGCGCAGTCATCAACGTGAGATCTTAGCCATTCTTGCTCGCTATATAGCTCAAGCCTCCTGTCCGCCTTACCCATAAGCTGGCCAGAAGAACCACAAACGAAGAGGCTTACCACAGACGAAGAGGCTTACCAACAGCCCGTGCCGTAACGATGCAACCCTCCATGGATGCCGTGGAACGGCGGAAGATACAGAACCGACACGCACAGCGGCGCTTTCGCAGTAAGTGGTTTAGACTGCTAGAAGGCCCGAACCAAGGCCGGGCCCTAGTCCCACCTCATACAAGAAAAAAACCGAACAGGTCTGGAGCCTACATCGACGCCAGGTCACATATCTTGTGTACTTCCATGTTGATGTAGGCTGCAGGCTTGTTCAGTTTTTTTCTTGCTTGACGTGGTCCGAGTCAAAGGCGCCCTCTATCCTTATCGACGCCTCTGCGGCTACTCGGCCCTTTGATACTGACCGTTCGGGCGCTGCAGGCAAGAAGGCGACTCAAAACGGAGGAGAGCCGTTCACGACAGCGGCGGCACCGTCCGCTGCAGCTACAGCGAGCGGGCCAACTATACAGCCGCGCCCGCAGTCAACCCACGATGTGCTGGCATGGGGCAGCGAGGGAAGGCTATCCCACCCCCACGCAACTGGACTACAGACGTCGGAGCAAGGCCCGGTGCCCCCATCGACGACCGCCAATAGCAGCCACACACTACAGGGGGACGCCACGATTACACTCATGAACATGACCGACTTCAATTTCCCACCGTCTATGACGCAATCACGTCATGCTGTGCTATGGCCCCACGACCCTCCAGCCGAGGCCATGGTCTTCAGTACTGACGATGCTGGGGGCTTCTACTCCAATCAAGACACGAACAGAACCACGTGGCCTGAGACCGGACCGAGCCGCACCCAAAGTGGATCTGAAAGCAGCAATGATACGTCACAAATCAACACTCGTATAACCACCCCCAACCTCTTTGTCGATGGCCGTCTTGGACAGGACAACGACCTCGACGACGACGAGCCCTTCCAGACGAACCTCCACATCGCGGCTGAGGCTGGTCATGACAGCCTTGTAGGCCTCCTGCTGGGCTCAGGGTACACCGTTGATGAACACGACAGGGTAAAGTAGCCGCCACGGATAGCTTTAAGAATATCTTACTAACTTCTTACTAGTATGTATCCCTCTTAATACGATTTAGTTGCGCAGTTATTAAGGCCCTACTAAGATGTATCTCTCTTACTATGCTAACAACGTAACAGTGACGGCAACACAGCTCTGCATAGGGCCAGTCTTGGTAAACATGTGAAGGTGATGTTGAGGCTACTCAAAGCCGGTGCAAATCCCAACGCCATGAATGTTCACGGCTGGACCCCCGTGCATATGGCTTTTTCTCTCGGCTCGATGGAGGTAGTAGAGGTCCTGGTCCGACATGGTGGTGATCTGAACAAGCGTGCGAAAGGTAAGTTGAGCTGTGACAAATTCAAGGAAGCTCTTGCAGCGAAGGATCGAGAGCTTTCCCGTGAAAAATAGCCGGGGCTTGTTATTGCTGTTGTGAGCACTGGCCAAGGCTAAAGTGCGGTGAAGCAACACAGAGTCTGTGAAAGGGATTCATGGCTTTTCGGACTAATAGAAAGTAAGAAACAACGAGTGTTTCGAGCCTGCACCTGAATTGTGCCTCCGAACGATCAAGACTGCTCTCCCCAGACTCCCACTCATTTTACCAGCACTCTCACCCCTTTGGTCGCCCGATCAGGAAACGGAATGAAATAATCGGCTTTCATCTCCACCGCAGCTCGCCCGGTCTCAAACAACTCGAGTTTGAGCCTACGAAAAACAACAGCCAGTCCAATATACAGCTCTGCGCGCGCCAGGTTGATCCCGAGACACATTCTTGGGCCCTTACTGAACGCAACTAGGTACTTACTTAGTGGCTCGCCATTCTTCGCCAACGCCTTCTCAAGCCAGCGCTCGGGCACAAACTCATGCGGCTTGTCCCAAATGCGCGGGTCCGTGTGCGTGTAGTACGCCGTCATGCTAAAGTCGGTACCGGCTGGGATAACGATGTCCTTGAACGTGATAGGCTCTTTGCGAGACCTGCGCGCTGTGCGTGAGGAGATGCCAATTGTGATGCGAAGGGTCTCGTTGACGATTGCGCTGAGGTACGGCAGTGCTTCCAGAGTGGCTAAAGACGGGGTCACGTGCGGGTCTGGAAACACAGTGCCTAGTTCTGTACCCAGCCTTGCCGCAATAGCCGGGTTCTCGAGTATGTAGAAGGTCGCTTTGGACAATGCGGTTGATGTTGTTTCGACGCCGCCTGCAACGATGGACCCGCCTGAACATGTGAGTGGATAGTTCTGAGTATGAAGGTGGGCGGGCTTACCTTCGTGCTTGAGTCTCTCAACCGCCTTTTCTTCGGTAGGCAGATCAGAGTCGAGAAGCTCGCTAAACACCGTTTTATGTTCGACATCCTTATGTGCGTCGTTGGATCCAGACTTGATGGCGCGGATTTGGTCTTCGATTTCCTAGGTGGAGTCAGCACCTACAATTCCATCAAAATCCCACGAGACCTACCCCATGGAATCCAAAGATAGCGCCCATGGCTGGATTCATCGCCACCGACCACCTTTGGGGGAGCGCCTGCAGCAGAGACAAGAGCCATGGGAAGTGGCCCATGGTATGCAGCGTCGTTGCGAGTTCCTTCGCCGCGTTGGTGAAGGGCGCTTCGAAGTTCGGATCTTCCATGTACTCGAACGAGCGCGCAAAGGCGTAGTGCGTGATGACGTCAAATGTCATGGCTGCGAAACAGTTGTTCATAATGGCTGGTCTGCCCGAACCCGCGAACTCGGTTTCCAGCCGATCACACAGTCGCTGCGCCTTTTGACTGATGAAGTCAGTGATGCCCGATATCTTTTGCTTCGAGAAGAATGGCGCCACCGCCGACCGGCGCATTCGGTGGCTGTGGGGTGTCAGCTGATACTATTTCGGTGGGGGACTGCATGCTGCCTTACTGTTGATGCTCGATAGTGTCGAAACTTGAATGGGGAATACCAGTTCGATATTTCCACTCGATTTTCTTGTCGAATTGAGAGTTACTGGCGAATAAAACCTGCACGAAATCCGGATCTGCGATGTGCACCTCCCAAGGGTTGATGCGCACGATTGGACCTGTCATCAATCAACGTATGCTCAGTTGATGAAGGACTAGATCAGAAGACGAACCATATCTTTCATGCCATTCTCCGAGCTTGAAGATCAATTGACCGCCCCGAAAGACATCGTGGTATGTTTCTACCCATCCAGTGACTGCGGCAAGCTTGGGCCCAGGAAATCTGGACAACGGACTCAAGAGAAGACGGTATATCGCAAGCGATGTTCCCCACAGTAAGAGGAGAGTTGCAAGCAAAATCAAGCGCAGTGTTGTGCTAGACAAAGACCGCTGGAATTCTTCAAACTGCTTGAAAGTCATGTTGGGATTATGCAGCGTCTTGCGACTGATGGATTTCGCTAGAGACCTGAGCTCCTCATGTTTGATGCCTTGCTTGCTAATATCTGGTGCCATACGGGAAACGTCGGTCATGTGAGAGCGATGCATAGTAATCGTTTCCGTTCAGTTCACTGTCATCCGACCATAGGTAGGTGGACTAGATAGCTTACACTAAGAGTACAAGCCACTTATCGCGGTCAGCCTTACATAGTGCATCACGCCATGGAAAGGAGCGAGCTGCTAGTGCGTTTCGAGGCCAAAAAGGCATAAAAAAGGCACAAGCAGCGGATGGCCCCACCACCTCATGCAAGGATAAACCGAACACCTGGAGGCTACATCAAGATAAAAACGCGCAAATTAGGTGACCCAAGACCAACGTAGGCTCCTGGGTATTCGTTCTTTCCCTTGACGGAGGTGTCACTGCTGGATCTCCAATAGCACTGCCAGCCCTATAGCCAATCATGCCAGTGCGTGTACTCTGTCTTCACGGGCAAGGAGTGAACTCAGCCGTCTTCCAGAAACAGACACGTAAGTAATACTAAGATCAGCCAGCGTAGTATATAAAGATTTGACCAACCAATAGAGAGCCTACGCGAGATGCTGCCTGCAGATTACGATTTCCGTTTCTTCGACGGCAAATACGAATGCGAACCGGCGGAGGAAGTGCGCGATTACTACCAGCCCCCGTATCTTACTTGGTACAACACTCCGACCGTGGAGAAAGTCAAGGATGCGCATGAGCAAATCCGGCAGATCATCGAGAGCCACGGCCCCTTTGATGCAGTCATGGGCTTCAGCCAGGGCGCTGCTGTAGCAGCCTCTCTACTGTTGCACGAGGAGCTAGAATCCAAGCCACTCTCCTTCAAAGCCGCAATCTTCATCGGCTCGCCCATACCATTTGCCAGAACTACGCAAGTGGGCATTGATGCGCGTTCTTACTTTGGCGTTCCCAACACGCTTCCAAATGCGCACGCTCGCCCGAGCCGCATACCACCCCACTTGCTGACAGACCCTGCGTATTTGCGCAATCCCGCGCAGCTGGAGCGGGTTTCGTGCGATAACGTGCAATATCAGATGTTTCACCCCACGGCTGACGAGGTGCGCATCACGTTGCCGACGGGACATGTCATGGGTATGCAGGATAAATGGTTGTGCCACAGTAAGGATTTGGTTGGGCTGTGTCAGGAGGATTGCAGGGTGGTATTGCAGCACCACGGTGGGCATGAAGTACCTAGGGCTTACACGGAAGAGATTTGTGATGTTGTTGAGACGGTTTTCGGGGGACTGCTGTAAAAGGTCACGTGAGATGGAATGATCAGAATATATATATATAATAGCAAAAAGGTGGGCCTGTCAATGGCTTACCTTGCATGATGATTACGAAGGATCTGATCTTCATTGGCTACGGTCTGGGGCATGGGCGTTAATAAGAACGAGCTCCTTCGTGCAGCGGCCCGTGACACGCGCCGGGACGTCCTGCACGCTAGGGTGGATCTTGGTAAATCCCGTCCCGGAGAGATTCTGACATGCACGGTAATAACGCCACACGAGGCAAGGTAAGCAGGACTGACAAAACAAAGAAACAGACATGACTGCGGAACTCGCGATTACCCAACGCGACATGGCTGACAAATGCTGCACGTTTGTGCTCAGTCGCCTGGCGACAGACCGCGACAGGCCCTCACCGACGCCTCCCAGCTCATTCACTTGCCTGTATTGCAGCACTCGCTTTCGCACCCACGTAATACCAAACTTTGACTATCCCATTCTACACTTCTCCCGACATCCGACTTCCATTCCGAGATGGCTTCTACTGAACGACCTCTGGTAGCGGATGAGCACGACAAACCAGAAACCACCACCAGTCTCACTCAACATGGCTCTACCGAGAATGATCAAGCAAAGCCTGAACCCGGCTATCAAAGCGGGCTGCCGTTTTTTTTGGTCGTCTTCGCCTTGCTGTTGAGCATGTTCTTGGTGAGTGGGCTGGACTTCCGTAACACCACATGCAGGCTAACCAATTGTACCCTAGATCGCCCTTGATATGACCATCATCGCAACTGCGATCCCAAGTATCACGGATGATTTCCATGTTAGTTTTCAAGTACTGGCAGCATTGATGTGCCCCAAACTGATACCCTCCATAGTCGGCCCCAGATGTCGGCTGGTACGCTGCTGCATTCTTCATCACCTTGGCCATATTCCAATCAGCATGGGGCAAAGCATACAAGCACTTCAATATTAAGATTACCTTCGTGGTAGCAGTCGTCCTGTTCGAGGTTGGCAGCTTGATCTGCGGTACGTTCACTCTAACCGATTTTATTGGATGCATCGACTAAACGGGCCCTAGGCGTTTCGCAAAACAGTCTTACGTTCATCGTCGGCCGAGCCATCGCTGGACTTGGTGGAGCTGGCGTTACTGGTGGCGTGTATACCGCCATGGCCTACATTGTGCAGCCTGCGCAAGTTCCAACATACATTGGCCTCATCGGCGCCGTGTTTAGTGTCGCCAGCGTTGCTGGCCCCCCGCTTGGCGGTGCGCTCACTGGCGAGGTGAGCTGGCGATGGGTGTGAGTGCGGTATCTCATGCTGTTTTTCTGTCTCTCGCTAACATCTACATTCTAGATTCTACATCAATCTGCCAATAGGCGGCTTCGCCCTGTTGATCATCTTCATCTACTTCCACTTGCCTGCCACAGTCAAGCCAGTACCTATCGGCCGAAAAGAACTCATTTTGGTCATGGATATTCCCGGTATCGTCCTCGGCATGGGTGCGCTTGTCAGCTTCACGCTCGCTATGCAATGGGGTGGTACCCTGAAGCCTTGGTCTTCTCCAGACGTTATAGGTACCCTCGTAGGCAGTGTTATCATGACTGTTCTCTTTGCCGTCTTGCAGTGGCGAGCGGGCGAGAACGCCTCCCTCGTTACGCGGATTATGACGCAGCGAACAGTCGCAGCACTGTCGGCATTCATCTTCTTGTTCGTATCCCACCGCCAAGATGTTCTTCTGATCGCTGACGAAGTACCCGCAGTCTGAACTCGACCAACTTCCTCCTGGTATACAATCTCCCACAATACTTTCAGGTTATCAACGACCTCTCCGCCACAGAAAGTGGTATCAGAAACCTCGCACTCATTCTCTCAACTTCAGCTTTCGTCCTCGCAAGTGGCTTCATCCTCGGCCGGGTCGGCTACTACCACATCTTCCTCATCAGTGGTTCTGCTCTACTCACAGTCGGGGCCGGCCTCGTATACACGCTCGACCTTGACTCCACAGTCGCGGAAGTAGTGGGGTTCCAGATTCTGGTTGGTATGGGTATCGGCTTAGCCATCCAGGCTCCCGTCATTGTCGCACAGGCCTTCTCGGCCCCTGAAGATATACCAGTAGTCACGTCGATAGTCATGTTCTTCCAGCTAGTGGCGGGAGCGATATGTGTATCGGCCTCGCAGACACTTCTCAACAACCGACTGATCTCAGCACTGGCAGACCTCGCGCCCAACATTTCATCCGAGCAAGTCTTCGCGGTCGGTGCGACGGAGATTCGTGATGCCTTTCAGGGAGCCGATCTCGTCGCTGTGCTCAAGTCCTACATGGTCGGTCTTAAAGATTCTTGGCTCTTTGCGACTGTTTTGGCTGCGATCACGTTTCTCCTGGCTTTTGCGGGAGAATGGAAGAGTGTGAAGGGCGCAAAGCCTGCGGCTGTTGCATAATATTCTCGTGTGTACTTTATCTCAGATTTACTCTTCATAACACCTCTTGTAATACTTTTAGAACATTCCAGCAGAATGTAATTACTCCTTGCATCAGATTACTGGAAAGCGTCCTTCGGAATGAGTCTTCTTTGTCCACATTTCGCGTGATTGCTTATTTCGGGGCGCCCTTGTGTTGCACTGAACGCCATGTGTGGGGGACTTGACTGTACCCCCACTCACATAACGACAGCATTACACGAGACAGCTTTGACCCGCTACAACACCGACAACACTGGAACGATACCGTTTCTTTGAGAGCCTGGTCAGGCGCGATGGCCGACCGATTAGCCATGCATCAGACCCTCTCCAGGTGAGCATACTGGCCCATCCTAAACTCAGCCGGGCGTCGCTTCAGGTTTGGCTCCCAGGACTACTGTGGATACGAGATGTACCAGCTCGTCTCTGCTGTAGTTAGATTGGCCCGATGAAATATCAGCACGGGAAGAACGTGCATGGAATGAGCCCTGGTTCCAACGGCCCAGCTGTTGTGTCAGCGAGCCTCAGCCGCGATACCGGTAAGCATTTGACAGCCACGATTTGAGTCACCGAAGCCATGATCCAGATACTCAGGGTTGCCCTCGCCGCGGCATACAATCAGCTTACGAGGCCAGAGCTAACTGTGGGTCGGGCGTTCAGCAAGGTCTGCAGTTGGTGGCGCAGGTCTTCAAGCCACGACTGAGCGGTTTCCGAAGAGGCAACTTTCACGTTCAAACAACTGCCGAGGCAGTCTGAAGAGAGGCTAGAGATGTTTATCATACGAATATAAATGTCGAAAGAGGCTCCCATGATCAGTCAAATCAACTGCGTCGAACAGTCTCTTCAACTCGGCTTCTTTCGCTGGATGAGTGAAGAACTACCTCGTTTTACATCACTCTCTCTGAATAGCTTCTCATTCACCCCACTCTCCTAAGAGAGTCATGATGCCCCAACGAGCATTGGTAGCACTTGCTACAACGCTGCTTTCGGCTGCCACCATTTCCGCCGACCAATACGCCAACAATACCGACTGCCGTGTCCTACCAGGAGATGCTGGTTGGCCAGCCAAATCGCAATGGGACAAACTCAACGCGACGATTGAGGGCAGACTCATTGCATCCGTGCCACTAGGCGCAGCTTGCCACGACCCAACCTACGACGAGGAGAAGTGCAACTATCTGCGCGAGAATTGGCAACTACCAGTCACCTATGAAGACGATCCCACTACACCAATGAGCTATTGGTTCCAGAACTCAACCTGCGACCCCTGGACTGATCGCTCTACGCCATGCGAGCTGGGCCATCTGGCTGTTTATGCAATCAACGTTAGCCAGCCAGCTGATGTTTCGGCCGGACTTGTTTTTGCACATGAGCATAAGATCAGAGTCAGTATCAAGAACACTGGCCACGACTTCAACGGAAAGTCGGTTGGTCAGGGATCTCTGGGTATCTGGACTCACAATCTTAACTCCATTCAACCAATCCACAACTACAGCCAGCCCTGGCACAAGGGTCCAGCTATGAAGCTCGGTGCGGGCGTCAGAGGCTATGAGGCATACAAGGGTGCTCACGATGCTGGCCTTCGGGTCGTCGGTGGCGACTGTGCCACTGTTGGCATCGCAGGAGGCTTTCTCCAGGGTGGTGGCCACTCGCCTCTCTCTGGCGTTTACGGAATGGCTTCTGACCATGTGCTTGAATGGGAGGTAGTCCTCGCGAATGGTACGTTCGTGAAGGCTACACCTGAACACAACGAGGACCTTTACTGGGCACTTGCTGGAGCTGGTCCATCTACTTTTGGCGTCGTCACCGCGGTCACACTACGTGCATTCCCTGACGGACCCGTCGGCGGCGCATCAATCATTTTTGACCGCAGTCAGATGAGCAACGACACCTTCTGGGAAGCATTCACCTACTTCCAAGAAGCACTCCCCGGACTCAACGCTGGCGGGGCGCAATCGTCCTTCGCTACCCTGCCGCTGCAATTTTATCTGCAAGCTGTCACACGACCCGACTACACCAAAGACCAGATGCGTGACTTGCTATCAGAGTTCACCACGAAGCTTGACTCTCTCAATATCGACTACAACCTCACCATCACCTCGACGCCCACCTACCTGGACCATTTCGTAACATACTTCGGCCCCGCACCATGGGGCCCTTACGTCATCGGTGAGCTCATGACAGGCCGTCTTATTCCCCTTGAAGTTAGTCAAGCCGACCCAGCCGCGATCATCGCTGCGTATCGCGAAATCACCGATACCACACAGATCATTATCGGCTCCACCGCCCAAGACGTTTCCATCACGCCGCTTCGCAAGCCCGTTGCACCCAATTCCGTGATGCCCAGCTGGCGCACAACAGTCAATACATTGCTCATTCAGAGCTACTTCAACTCGTCGATTTCCTGGAACGAGAAGCAGCATTTGCAGGACCAGCTTGTCGGCTTTGCGCAAAAGCGCATTGATGATCTCGTGCCGGAGGATACGGGGACTCATTTGAATGAAGCAAACTTTTCGCCGCTGATTGACTGGAAGACGCAGTTTTATGGCACTAACTATCCGAGGTTGTTGGATATTAAGCGTCGGTTGGATCCGGAGAATGTCTTTTGGGCTGTCACTGCTGTCGGTTCTGATGCGTTGGAGGTGGCTGCTGATGGTCGACTCTGCGTTGCCCATTAAGGATAGATGAGTACGTCGTTTGGTCATCTTTATATCCGTGGTTTGCACTGTGCTGCAGTAGGCAAACTTTGACTTGAGTGGTTGTATTAGAACGGCTGTGCTAGATACTAGAAGGGTTATATTAGAGCGGTCGTATTAGAGTGGTTTTATTAGAATTCATTCGGTACGTTTGACGATGTTCATCGAAGCCATTTGCTCTAGGTACTACATGCATGAGTGAAGAGATGTTGGTGATTTCCAGGCTGCGAGATCACGCGAAGAACCCTACGATCATGTTCTTGATTGTCCAAAGCGTCCCAACGCCATGTCATGTCCACAATCATTCGCGTCGTTGATAAAGTATACATTTAGTACTCAAAACTCTCTTTTCAGCTCTCAGTGGTGGTCCTGAGCAGTCCTGGGCAATTTAAGTGTGTGTCAACAGTATCAGGAACTACGTACGTAGTCGTGAGTTGTTCCGGCTCGCGTGGGCACTGGTCACGCACTCGATCTCAGCGACCAGTCATAGTCGAGATTGATAAGAGATGGACGTGATAGAAGCGTTGTAATGGGCGGTTGATATATTGTTGATATATTGTTGATATGAAAGTCAAACTATCTATGCCCATCCAAGGGGAGCCAAATGCGGGTCGATTTGTCACGACTAGGCTGCGACAATCTTCTTGATGAAATTGGCCTGCAAATCTGACAGCATGGGGAAGTCATCTCCACTCAACACATCCAAGTGCCCCTTGCTAGGAGCAATGTGCAACACCTTCGGCTCCGGGAACGTCGCATGAAGCGCAATCTGCGCCTCGGGGGGCGAGATCTGGTCCAGCTCCGGCACTACCATCAACACAGGTGTACGGTCCAGGTATCTCATGATACCTTGTGGTTGCCATAGCTTTATCTTGTAGTACGATTGGAACGTCGTGTGATTCTCGTGTCGCGGGGCGCCACGCGTTTTGGCGTTGACCATACTACAAACACCGGTCAGTTATACATCGTCACTTATCAGACTCGTTGGACTTACTAGTCAAACTCCTCCTTGTCTGCTCCCAACCCCATCCCAGCGGGGTTCTTGCCCTCAGCCGTCAACACTGGGACATATAAAGGTTTGTTCCCAGTGAGCTGCGACTCCCGGTCTTGTTGGAGTTTGGCAAGCACTTTGGGGAACTTGGATGCTTCGTATTCGAGGTTCAAGAGCGGGCAGATGGCGATGCAGAAGTGAATGCGTGGGTCCAGAGCTGTAGCGGACAGTGCAATGACACCGCTGAACGACATACCCCAGATACCAATCATTGAAGGATCGACGTTTGGAAGACTCTTGACGAAAGTGACTGCGTCGGAGTAGTCGGATACTTGTCTCGCTGGATCGATATCGTTGCGCGGCAACCCATCGCTCAGGCCGAGCGTTCGCGGGTCGTAGATCAGTGCTGTGATGCCGTTCTTCTGGAACTGCTCAGCGACATCTGGTACAAACATCTCTTTGACGCAATTGAACTGTCATCGTCAGCTTTTGGTCTGATCATTTCTTTGAGTCGTCGAGAAGAGCATACACCCGGTGTTATAATGACCGCAGGTCCCTTTCCGGACGACACTGCAGCATTGTATAGGTCGCCACGCAAAGTTAGACCATCAATGGTCTTGAACTCAACTTCCTGGATGTCGATTGCCATGATGCTGTCTGATCATGTAAGGATGCTGGAGGAGTTCAACAACGTTGCCACGGATTCGGAAGATGCTTCTTATCTCAAGTTGTGGTTGAGAATGTCAAGTTCCAAGGAGAGATACGCTCACTGAATGCGTTTCGTATACCACTGACTGCTAACATGGATTTGACACCCACAACCATAATTCATCACCCAGAGAGTATACCTACGAGTCAGACATTGCGGAAGTTTGCACTACGGGGAAGTCAGCATCAAACGCTACACGAACGCAGGGTCAGAGCCTTGCGCAAAGCTACTACATGACGCTGGGTCACAAACATATGCGAAGTAATCGAAAACCAGAGCCAAGTTCAGCTGAGTACTGAGTACATATCGTTGCATACCGAACTATGCCAGGGTTCTAAAGATGGCGCCATGTGCTGACCGCATAATCTCCGTCCAGCCATTTGCCGTCACACCAATCGCAACCGATTTGGAGGAAACGTTGCAGATGTATGCCGGATGTCCACTTTGTTCACAAGCCATAATCTCACATCAGCTTCATAGATTAATCGTGGTTCACCCCGACGTCTTTCGGTAACGTCTTGCTGACTGCATGTCAGCAGTTCCGATGGTTCCAGTGACCAAATTCTTGCGTGAATGATACTGCCTATCATGAGAGGAGATGATTGGATGGAGTTTCGGAACCCGAGCCACCAATGCCAGCCGCGAGCAGTTGGTGAGGCTGATCCTTGGTGGCTTTGTCAACCCCACGAACTAACCCCACAGATCTAACCAAATTCAGAAGCGACTGCCGAAGTCAGGGTAGCACAACGACCCTAGGAGAGTAGCAAGAGGCTCGCATTTTTTGCGTTATCTCTCAGGTGACATATTACCGTGTTTCCACCAACCTCAACAACTGCGAGGCTGACTTTGCAGACGCAAGAATGCAAACACTGTCTACGGTTGAAGCTGGTGGTGTCATGAACGTCTAATGTCAGGCTCATGATACGCAACGTCAGAGATTACGGTGCGCAAGAACGAGGTGTTGTGCAAGCTGGTAGAGACAGAAAGGCCTCAGCGATACAATGATACAAGCGCGAGTAGACCAATCGCAGTGACTACGTTATCGTCCCAGTGTACTTTGCAAGATCCCAGCGAAGCCCTTTCTTTATCAGGAAGTTTGCACCTTTTCGACTGCGTTGTTAAATTCTTCCTAGCACTGCTGCGCATACTACACTTTAGAGAGCCTAGAAACTAGGACGAAACTATTCGGACGAGATAGAGAAGAAATAGAGTGAGCTTGGGACTCATAATCCATTACTATAGCTTCGTGCTAACACTTCCAGCTCTCCTTACCATACTAGACCAGATTTCTTCTGTCTTCACCATTGCAAACCTTTGATCACTTCCTGCCTCAACATGGTTATCAACGACTCAGGCCATGAGGACTACGGCCTCAACCAACGAGCTTCAGCAGTTTCTGCTGCCCCGAAGCCCCGCAGATACACACAAGAACCTATCGCTGTTGTTGGCATGGGATGTCGTCTTCCTGGGGACAGCAATTCTCCACATGCGCTGTGGGACTTCCTCGAGCGTGGTGGCATCGCAGACAATACACCACCGCAAAGTCGATTTCGTCTCGATACCCATCATGACGGATCCAAGAAGCCAAAGACCATGAGATCGCCCGGTGGAATGTTCCTCGAGAACATCGATCCAAAGAAATTTGATGCCGCCTTCTTCAGCACGGGCAAACTTGATGCTATTGCCATGGACCCGCAGCAGCGCCAACTTCTGGAGGTCGTCTACGAGTGTCTCGAGAATGCCGGAATCCCTCTCGAGAAGCTTGATGGCGAAGCAATCGGTTGCTTCGTCGGCTCTTATGGAGTTGACTACGCCGATATGCAGGCCAGAGACCCTGATGATCGAGCTCCCTCTGTCACCATCGGCGTTGGTCGTGCCATTCTCAGCAACCGCATCAGCCACTTCTTGAACATCCATGGACCAAGTATGACGATTGACACAGCCTGCTCGGGAAGTCTTGTCGGTGTCGATGTGGCATGCCGATACCTTTCGAGTGGCGAGATCGATGGTGCTCTTGTGGCGGGTGCCAACCTCTACTTCAACCCGGAACACAACATGGACAGTGGGCCAATGAAGGGAGCGTCCTCGCTCTCAGGTCGCTGCCACACCTTCGACAGGAAAGCCGACGGCTACATCAAAGGTGAAGCTATCAACTGCGTGATGCTGAAGCGTCTGTGCGATGCGGAGCGAGATGGCGATCCGATCCGAGCGATCATACGTGGTACCTCTACCAACAGTGATGGGAAAACTCCCGGTATCGCAAGCCCCAGTTCTGAGGCTCAGGCGAAGGCCACGAGGGCGGCTTATGCCAACGCCGGGATTTCTGACCTGTCAGCCACCGGCTACATCGAGGTATGTTGTCTACTTCTCTTCACAGTACAGCATTGAGCTAACGCCATCTAGATGCATGGTACCGGAACACAAGCGGGTGACCCACAAGAAGTCAAGGGTGTTGCATCAGTCTTCTCTTCCTCGAGACCTGAGAACGCACCTCTGATAATGGGATCAATCAAGAGTAACGTCGGTCATTCAGAGCCAGCAGCCGGTATCTCAGGACTCATGAAAGCCATCATGTCTGTAGAGAAGGGGAAGATTCCAGGTAACCCTACCTTCATCGACCCTAACCCAAACATCGACTTTGAGGGCTCAAGAGTCCGCGCAACTCGATACACCATACCCTGGCCTGCCCAAAGTGGTCCCAGACGTGCGAGCGTCAACTCTTTCGGGTACGGCGGGTCGAATGCTCATGTCATCATTGACCAAGTGCCCGAAGAGAACAGGAACTTTGTGTTTTCGATCGGTGACGGCTTCGAGGATCTTCTGGCAGATGACGTTGCGGTTTCTAGGCCACACGTTTTGCTCTTCTCTGCAAACGACGAAACCTCGATCAAAGCTTACACTGCTTCTTTGCGCAAACATCTTTTGGATCCGAGGACAACAGTAGACCTACCTGACCTTGCGTATACGCTCTCAGAGCGACGGTCCCGACACTTCCATCGAGGATACATCGTTGCGAAAGACCTATCACTGGACTCCAACGCCATCGCCTACGGTAAGAAGAACTCAGATGCTCCAAGAATCGGGTTCATCTTCACCGGACAAGGCGCCCAATGGTCGCAGATGGGTAAAGCACTGCTTCAGAACTTTCCAGAAGCGCGCGCGGTCATCGAGCGACTCGACACGGTGCTCCAGAGTTTGGTACATGCACCTGAATGGACTCTCCTCAAGGAGCTTACCGAAGCCCGGAGCCCGGAGAAGCTACGTGATCCTGAGTTCTCACAGCCGCTCGTCACAGCCCTCCAGATAGCTATCGTCACTGTCTTCCGCAACTGGGGCATCCATGCTGAAGCCGTAGTGGGCCATTCTTCAGGAGAGATCGCTGCCGCATATGCAGCTGGACTCTTGACGGAAGACAATGCAATCAAGGCCGCCTACTATCGTGGCTATGCATCGAAGGCGACCCGGGACTTGCAAACCGCCAAGATGGGCATGATGGCTGTTGGCATCGGAGCGGAAGATGTCCAGCCCTACATCGCGAAGGCTAGACTAGCAAATCCGGGATCGAAAGCCGTTACAATCGCCTGTTACAACAGTCCAAACAGTGTCACTCTATCTGGAACCGTTGACAGTCTGGATGCTCTGCGCGTGGAGCTAGTTGCGGACCAGCACTTCGCCCGCATGCTTCAGGTCGACATGGCGTACCACTCATCCTTCATGGGAGCCGCAGGGGAAGAATACGTCAAATGTCTTGAAGCCGAATCATTTCGTACAACTGGTACTCACTCCAAGACGAAGATGTTTTCGTCTGTTGATGGTGACCTGGTCAACCGTCCAGTGGATATCGCGTACTGGAAGCACAACATGGTGCAACCAGTAATGTTCGAACAAGCTCTCGACCACATGCTCTTTGGTGGAGAATCAGTGAACTTTCTTATTGAGGTTGGGCCGTCTGGCGCATTGGCCGGACCCACCGCACAGGTCAAGAAAGCGCTACCTGGTGGCGGTTCGAAAGTTCAATACTGCTCTGCCTTGACGCGTGGCAAGGATGCAGAAAACGCTATCTTCGACGTAGCCGGGCGGCTATTTGTCGCTGGCTACGACGTGGACTTTACCAAGGTCAACTGCATTCCTGCGCGGTGCAAAGTCGTAACTGACTTGCCCAATTACTCCTGGAACCACAGCACCGACTACTGGTACGAGAACGAAGCCAGTCAGGAATGGAGAGACCGAAAGTTCCCTCATCACGACCTCTTGGGATCCAAGGTACTCGGAACAGCCTGGCAAGCGCCTGCATGGAAGAAATCTCTCAGGCTTGAAGATCTTCCTTGGTTGAAGGACCATCGCCTTGGCCCCGATGTCGTCTTTCCTGGAGCCGGCTACATGTGCATGGCTATCGAAGCTATGATGCAAACGGATGCAGTCCTGCGATCCCAGACCGGCGCAGTCCTGAAGCACAAACATCAAGTCCGTCTGCGCAACGTTTCTTTCGACAAGGCCCTCGTCCTGGAAGAAGGGAAGGATACCAAGATCATGCTGACGCTTGCTCCTTTCGCCAGTCTGAAAGACTCTTGGTATTTCTGGGTTGTAAGGTCTCTCGTTGCAGGCTCTTGGGTGGACCACTGCAAAGGCCAGGTCCGCATGGAGAAAGACACGGACATGCCCGCGTCTGGAAGCGACATCACTCCACTGCAACATGCAACCCCAGCAGCTCTTTGGTACAAGTCCATGTCTGATGTGGGCTACAACTTCGGCAAGGCCTTTCAGAAACTTCAGTCCGTCGAAGCAACATCCGGATCAAGACAATGCAGATCTCAAGTCGACTTCAGCTTCCCAGAATCCGATTTTACGCAGTCAGCGTATCCTATCCATCCTGCAGCATTCGATGGCTGCATGCAATCCTGCGCCCCGGGGCTCTGGCGCGGCATCAAGAGTAGCGTCAACGCGGTGCTGGTGCCCGCCATCATCGACGATGTCGTCGTCAAGACAGACACAAATCTGCGCGAAACCGCGATCTCCGTATCGAAGACTGTATTTTCCGGACCTGGTCGCAAAGATCTGGCCAAGAACCATTCGTCCAGTGCGAAGGTCTACGATCCCTCCACGGGCGGCCTCGTCTTCAAGTTGACTGGCCTGCACTACCACATGCTCGATTTCCAGGATAATCCATACGCTGCTCACTCGTACAGCAGATTGGTCTGGGGCCCAGACCTTACACTAAGCCCACAGGCCTGCGGGTCGATCAAAGCCGCGGGTTGGCAACAAGTTCGAGAGATCGTGGAGCTGATCGCACACAAGAAGGCTAATGCAAAGGTAGTCGAAGCTTCACTGATTCCCGGAGAATCGGCTAGCGTTTGGCTCGAGGGGTTGTCTTCCGCCTCCAAAGTTCAAAACGCTTTCAAGAGCTACACCCTCTTGACTCACGACGCCCCTGCAATTATCGACGCTCAGAGCAAGTATGAACAAGTGCCTAGAACTTCGTTTCAGCTGTTGGACTTGGGCAAGCCTCTTGAGAAAGAGCCCGACGAGTCGCTGCGAGATACTGACCTCGTTGTCCTGCGTCTGCCGCCAGGCGCACAAGAGACCATCGAAGTGATCATGGGTAACATCCAAAAGATTCTCGAGACCAACGGACACATCCTGGTACTCGAGCAGCGTTGTCCATGGAACCCGGACGTGGACCAGAGCCTGGCTGGTGGGTCTGCGACGAATGGCTTTTTGCGCGATAGTGCGGAGCTTTTCGACTCCCGTGGCTTCAGGGTAGTGCATACGGTGGACTGCGGCGACTCTGCATCTCTGTCCCATGCATACCTGGCCGTCCGATCTTACGACCAAAGCGAACCGACCACCTTGCCTCTCGATGTTGTACACTTGAACGACCCTGGGCAGGTCTGCGACGCGATTACGAAAGACCTTTCAGATCGTGGTTGGGACGTCAAGCACGTTCGCCTTGAAGATCTCGATGAACGTCTTCGCAAAGACGCGACCGTCTTAGTAATCTCAGAGCTTGAGACGCCGCAGCTGCCGACTCTATCGCCTGCGCAATGGGTCGCTGTCCAGCAACTCCTGCAGATGAGGAACAAGATTCTTTGGGTCAGCAAGTCGGCACAGTGGAAAGTCACGAACCCTGATGGCGCTATGATTCACGGCCTGTGCAGGAGTGTTCGCACCGAAGACCCGTCCATGAAGCTTACAACTCTCGATATCGAAGACGCGACCAACGAACACGCAGTGCCGTCCATTGACCTACTACTGAGGGAAGTGCAGAAAACGTCGTCTATCAAAGGCTTTGAGGGCGAGTACGTGGAACGCGATGGCGTTCTTCACGTCAGCCGCATCCTTGGCGATGATGACATCAATGCAGCCGAGCAGGCGAAGACGTCTGGCGCCCTTCCCGTTGATCTGCGACTTCACGAAGCTCCAACAACGGTCCGTTTGATCGCCGAGCGCGTGGGACAGATAGATTCGCTCCACTACGTTGAGGTTGACTCGGAGGAGCTGCCCTTGGCCAACAACAAGGTCGAAGTAGAGCTCTTCGCCTCCGCGCTCAACTTCAAAGATGTCGCCGTCACCATGGGCATTGTCCCGGAGAACAACCATCTGCTGGGCCTCGAGGGCGCAGGAGTGATTCGGCGTGTTGGTGCGAAGCTCAACACACCCTTCCATGTTGGTCAGCGCGTGCTGGTGTTTGAGAAGGGCACATTCGCGAATCGTATCATCGCCACTACTGAGCGTACGATTGCCATACCTGAGTGGCTCTCGTACGAAGACGCTGCGACACTGCCGTCTGTGTACTTGACGGCACTGTACAGTCTGTTCGACCTAGCGAATCTCAAGCATGGAGATCGCGTACTGATCCATTCGGCTACGGGAGGCTTGGGTATAGCAGCCATCCAAATATGCCAGGCGGTTGGAGCCACGGTATACGCCACGGTAGGACAAGAAGCCAAGAAACAGTTCCTGCAGGATACCTTTTCGATACCTGAAGAACACATTTACAACTCCCGAACCATCGACTTCGAGGCCCAGCTTATGGATAGCACCGATGGATATGGAGTCGACATCGTCCTCAACTCGCTCACCGGAGACTTGCTCGACGCATCTTGGCGCTGCATCGCCGAAGGCGGAACCATGGTGGAGTTGGGCAAAAAGGATCACATTGATCGCAATACACTCTCCATGGAGCCCTTCGCCCGGAACGCATCGTATCGCTGCTTCGACATGTCGCATAAGCATGTTTCGGATGAGGTTATTGCAGTGTGAGTACTCACTTTCTCTGTCGCTGAGATGACGGCCGACTAATCTTCTCCAGACTCATGCGCAAGATGATGCACATGATAGTGACGCGTGGAGTCAAACCAATCTCCCCTATTGAACTCTTCCCATACAATGACATCCCTTCGGCCCTCCGTTTCTTACGAAGCGCCAATCACATTGGCAAGATCATCATCTCGAACAAAGGCCTCGCCGATGCGGATCCCGTTGTGCCAGTGCGTCCTGCTCCGCGGACGCTACAGTTTCGCGGCGATCTATCGTACCTCATCGTAGGCGGACTCAAGGGCCTGTGCGGATCGATGGCAGTCGACATGGCTCGACACGGTGCTCGCAACGTCGTCATCATTGGCAGGAGTGGCTACGACGATTCCAGGTCTCAAGCAGTGCTGAAAGATCTTGCCGCTGAAGGCTGCCACGTGGACCTGGTACGCGGCGACGTAGCCAAAGTGGAAGACGTTCGCAACGCATTCAAGAGCGCCACGATGCCTGTCGGAGGAATTGTTCAAGGCGCCATGGTGCTTCGCGACAAGCCCTTCGAGACCATGACACACGAGGAGTACCATGGGGCGATTACATCGAAAGTTGCCGGGACTTGGAACCTGCACAACGTCGCCCTGGAAATGAGTCTCAATCTGGAGTTCTTCACGATGTTGTCCTCCATCTCCGGTCTCATCGGACAGCCTGCACAAGCCAACTATGCAGCCGCCAACGTCTTCCTGGACAGCTTCGCATACTACAGAAGAGGTCTAGGCCTGAAGGGTAACTCGGTCGACCTCGGCGCCATTGAAGACGTGGGATACATGGCCGAGCACTCCAACCTCATCACTGCGCTCGATACTTCAGCGTGGACGCCCATCAACGAGGCGCTCTTCCACAAGATCGTGCGGTTCAGCATCATGCAGCAAGAAGATACTCCAGTCAATCCCTCTTCTTGCGCGCAGCTTATCACGTCCATCGCCGTCCCGCAAGCCCCGTCGTCGCGTTTGTTGACCGATGCGCGCTTTTCATCCCTGCTGTTCGGCAGCTCGGCCGGAAGCAGCACCTCTGAGGCGTCTGGGGCGAACAAGGAAATCCAGGCGCTCTTGATGACTGTGAAGACTGGTGCTGAGATGCATGTTGCGTTGCCGCTGGCTGTCGATGTTGCGAACAAGCAATTCATGTTGACGCTGCGCGTCGACGAGCCTCTTGAGCCCGCCAAGCCATTGTCGGCATATGGATTGGACTCGCTCGCAGCTGTTGAGTTCAGGAACTGGTGTCGCGTTCAGCTTGGCGCCGACTTGACGACTCTGGAAGTCACCAGTGCGCCAAGCTTGTTGAGTTTGGCGGAGAAGATTGTCGCGAAGATTCAGGCAGCCAATGTGGCGAAGTAGAGGGCATATCGGAGGAGGTTGGTTGTCATAGCGCGGTGCTGGGAGAGAGAGGACAATAGAGCTTTATGATTCAACGAATCTCAGGTGTATCTTCGTGCGATAAATCGAGAACGATGGTTGTGTTGCATCGAAGCCGAGGCTCGCACTCGACACGTGACGTCATGGATCGAGCCCCTGATCTTCAACCCAAGTGGGCCTAGTGTCGCATCTGAGCTGGAGGCGGCCCATGCCAAGAACTCCAACACTTCGGCCCCGCTCGCCTTGCCTCTCACGATGACAACCTCAACACCACTCGTTGCATCCGTACTTCTTCTCCGACGTACTCGGACTCTTTGTCGTAAACATCTCCAATTTCAGAGTTATTTCACATCAAGCTTCCACGATCGCAACGTGGCAAAGAACCTCAAACTAACCGATGTCCGCAACTTTCCTCACAACGCGTCGGGTGAACACTTCCATATGCCAACTACAATACTGATTTGCAAGTCCAGTTCCACGTCGCACAATCTGATATGCCCATCCTCATATCGCCCAGACACGATCCTCCCTCCACCATCAAACATTCCGTCTCACCAAGGGTAGCGGCGGTCAATGGTCTCGTTGAAGAATTGCTCAGAATGCTCCTTCTTGGTGGCATTGTCGACCTAGAGCCTCGTTAACGACAGACAACGTTGTAGAGAAGTTTTCAAACTCACAATGTGCGCAGTGTTCTTGCTGCTGTCCTCGAGGGTGAGGGGTGCCTTCTCCAGGCCGAAAGCGCGTGCGCCCATGTTGCCCATGTCTGTTTGGACGAGGCTATTCACACGACATGTCAACTTCAGCATCACACGACAAGCTTGGAGATATCTTACCCAGGATGAATGCACAGCGTGATCAGCCAGTCGTTTTCCATACCCATCTTGCGGACCATGACGTTGGCGAGCGCCTTGGAGCCGGTATAGCTGATATTGGGGTAGGGAAACTCAGGCATGTTGTTGATACTGCCGCCAGCAGCGCTTATGAAGGCGAAGCGGGCCGAGTCTGACTTCTTGAGCAAGGGCAGAGTAGCCTTGTACAGTATCATGACGGAGATGGCATTGACCTGGAGAGCGTTCTCGAACTCTTCGAGCGGCACATCGGCGATAGTGTTGAGCGGCGCGATACCAGCAGCTGAGATGACGACGTCGATTTTGTCGATGCCCTTCACGGCCTCATATGGGTCCGTCTTGGATGCCGAGTCGATCTTGACGATGAGAACTTTGGTGTTCTCGCCTTTGGAAACACTGAGCAGGGCTTGAGCACCGGCAGGATCGCGCACTGCCGCGATGAGGGTGTTGTTTGGCTGTGCGACATAATGGTCGAACATGCCGCGGCCGATGCCTGCGCATCAAGTCAAATCAGTTTAGCAGTCCCAAGTAGGTCGAAGGCACGTACCGCGGTTAGCTCCGGTGATGAGATACGTCTTTCCAGGCATGTTGTCGGAGGTGCAGCGGGTATGGTGAGAATGATTTGTAGGTTGCAGTTAGATGCAGTCGGTTATAGTGCGAGCCGGTCAATATCATGGTTCAACTCCAGGGCTCTTACTCCGTGAGTTGAGCGGTCACGTGACACTGCACGGTCACCTGCAGCCTTGTCTAGCAGGAAAGCACAGAGCTGCCATTTCTAAGCAGCGTGCACGAGCGTGGCACAGCTTGATGTTTACATTTATGATTATTTTGATGGCTCCTAATTGGCTGTAGCACATCCACTCGCGGCCCGTCACACTAATGCAAGGTCAGCATCCTGTAAGATTGCGGTCCGTGTATTACATTCTTGTGTTCGCGCTCGTCTCATGATGATCCGATTGCAATGACTTTGCGTGGTCATCTTCACCTACTCAGCGACCACCAAACGCAGTGAATCTGCCAGGAATGCTTCAAGTCAGCACTCTGCAGCTTCAGGTGCACGTTCGTACAGCTCGAAAGCTTTGATACAATATGTCTGCGCGAACAGGCTACGGTTGAGATCCTCAGAATCCTGCCATGGATCAATTCCTCCACAACCTTTTGTCCTCGACCTACGGGCGGATTGGACTTGTGTCTAGCGTGTTCCTCACGCTATACGTACTCTACGTCTCCATCTATCGTCTCTACTTCCATCCTCTGCGGGGCATTCCAGGTCCCAGGCTTGCTGCGTTGACGCAATGGGTCGAAACGTACTATGAGTGCTTCAAGGCACCCGGTGGGCAATTCATGTGGGAGTACCAGAAATGGCATGAGAAATACGGTATGTCTACATGGTTCAGGAAGCAAATACTGTTTGCTCACCACTTCGTTGCAGGGCCTATCGTGCGTGTTAGTCCAAACGAAGTACACATCCAAGATCCCACTTTCTACGATACCCTCTATGCGCAGTCTCGCCACTCGGACAAGCTGAAGCATCTCGAGCACCGCTTCAACAATGAGATGTCCTCATTTGCTACTGCCGAGCACAGTCTTCATCGTCTGCGCCGTAGCGCGCTCAACCCCTTCTTCTCTAAACGTAAGATAACTCAGTACTCGCCTCACGTCCAGAGTCATATGGATCGTCTCTGCAATCGCATCGATTCCGAATTCGTCGCCAACGGGAAGACGATGAATCTGAATAACATGTGGGGTGCGTTCACCTCGGATATCGTGGTCGGATACTGTCTCGAGAAGCCGTATGACTTCATCCTGAACCCTGACTTTCGCGCTCAATTCTCCGACGCCATGTATGCCACCTCATGTCGCATCATACACGTAACATGACTAACACGCTCCAGGGTCGACCTCCTCGACCCCGTCCACTTCATCACCCAATTCCCATGGATGATCAAATCTCTGAAGCTGCTCCCAGACTGGCTCGTCGTGCTCATGTCACCGCCAATGCGCTCTGTCATGACCTTCAACAAAGAGATGGAGACGCAAATTCAGCACGCCAAAGCCGTACACGCCTCTGGAGAAAAGACGATGGCCATCCCATCTCTCTTCACAGCTCTCCTCGAGTCCGACCTCCCACCTAGCGAACTCTCCACCAAACGCCTGCAGCACGAAGCCATCTCCGTCATCGGCGCGGGCATCGAAACAACAATGTACACGCTGTCGACATGCTCGTACCACCTACTCGCCAATCCTGTGACGCTGGCCAAGTTGTGCACTGAACTCGATGCAGCGATTCCAGATGCAAATCACATCCCGAATCTCGACGCGTTGATGCAGTTGCCGTACTTGACTGGCGTAGTCAACGAAGCTCTGAGATTCGGCTACGGCACTCCTCAGCGCATCCCTCGCCTCTCACCAACACCCATGGTGTACCACACCCCCGAAGTAGACTACCAGCTCCCTGTAGGCACTATCGTGAGCATGGACCATTACACCGCCTCTCATGATCCAAGTATTTTCCCCGATCCTTTCGCGTTCATACCGGAGCGTTGGGCAAATGATGCAAAGGCACCAGATGGAAAGGCGCTAACAAAGTACCTGATTGCATTTGGACGTGGAACGCGAAGCTGTGTGGGCATGCAGCTTGCGTATGCGGATTTGTACATCGGCATTGCGAGTTTCTTTCGGCGGTTTGAGTGCGCGCTGTTCGAGACCGGGCGCGACGCTGTTGATCTGTACCTTGATAGCTTTGTTCCGCGCGCGAAGCCGGGGACGCAGGGAGTGAGAGTCGTTGTTCAGAGGAAGCGATAGCGTTCTTTTGTTGTTGCGCTGCGGGGCACGGGGGTAGTTGGACCCGGCACAGGCCCCGGGGGCCGACGATGCCCGAGGCTACCTAGGTATGCACGCTGAACGCCAGGCTGCAGCCTTCTTCGACGCGCTGAATGCCACACAACCTCAGTCTCATCTTCCTGTGATAAGAGTTTTGATCCTCACGAACGCGACAGTGTTGTGGATATCGCTATAGATACTGTTACAATGCTTGCTCCAACCCCACCTCCTCTTCCGCCTGCCCCAAAGCCCGCCTCAAAGGCCATAAACCTGAAAGTATCAGCGCCACCATCTCAACCAAAGCATGATCGCAGCACGAATTCCTTACAAATGCCACCTGACCAAACATTTAGGCCATGCTACATGTTTCTATATGGCTCACTTATGGACCCGGAAGTCCTACAAGCGGTCCTGAACCTCCCCGAGCTCCCCACCACACGACCTGCAACCATTACCGGGTTCAGAGTCAGAATGTGGAGCATATATCCAGCGCTCATACTTGGCGATGGCGATGAGAAAGTGTCAGGCGTGGTGTGGAAAGTAGAGGAGGAAGACCATTTCAAGCGTTTGCAGGAGTACGAGACATATGCTTACATCTGGACTTGGTGCGAGGCGACTTTAAATGATGATGAGACGGTGCTTGAGAAGTGTCGCACATTCTGTTGGGCTGGTGATCCGGATAGTAAAGAGCTGGAAGATGGGAGTTTTGATATGGCGCGGTATCAGAGGGTACTGAAACCGTCCATTGTCAAGAAGCGACCTGTGGTGCCATGAGTATAGAATTGGAATATCTTGTAGAGACAGAGTCGCTAGAGCGTGCCTCGTATTGGCACATATGAGAGAGCACCATCAAGGCGTTGTGCAACCTGAAGACCGACATGCTATCGGTGTTGTCTACATACACCCATCTTATCATATCGTATAATGCAGGCAACGCCTAGTTCTCCCACCTCCTCATGTTCGCTATCATTCACGACGTCTACTATATTGGCAAGGTCTGCGTCCGCATTCGATAACCCGGGGTGTCTGCATCCCAATACGCTATCCGAAAATTCGAGCGATCGACCGCATCTACATGAGGACGCTTCGCGCTGAACTAGATTCTCCTATCCATATCGAGTTAGTATTGGATTTATACACGTGAAGGTGTGCCAATGTACATCTCGACTCATGATGGTATGCAGACGCCATATCTTCGAGCATGATGGTTGTGTGTAGCGACCACGTATGCGAACGCTGGTGTTGGAGTAAGATGTTCCGACTTCTGATCGGTGTATTTGGAGGAGGTGTGTGTATCGGAAGAATAGCGCT